TTCAACCCCTCTTAACTCTCAACAGCCATCCTCACAGGCGCTAGGGTTCTTGGACCTGTTTCAGCTGCTTAGCTCATGCTTTGCAAATAGTTCTGGCAGAAAGGGGTCTTCTGTTGGCGACAAACAAACCAAACAACGGGTGCCAAATAGGCGTTAGTTGTTTCTTTGGGGCACGTTGCTTAAATGTTAGGACTTTAACTTTTTGCCAACTAATGGGTTTTCCATTCAGCCACTAAAAGTTAGATGAGCAGAAAGCAACCGAGGTTTGGACCGAACATCCTAAAACTAGGATCTGTGGCATCAGGGCACCCCCACAAGGGATAGTCTTCTTCCACACTCGCGTGCAGGTCAACATTCTGAGTTGAAGCCCTCCTACCTGCGGTCTCAATGAGAAGAAAATATAGGGTCGTGACCCTCCACATGTTGGGTGTACCGTGTACCCCATTTTTGAAGGCTCATGGAGACTGTTGTTTGTGCTTGCACTCAGCCCCGGCTCCAGTGTGGGAGTTTTAGATTCAACTCCGAAATTGAACTTTTTTTGCGGGCCTGGCAAGCCGACATGGGAGGGGGTGAGGATACCGAATCTGAATGTGACCCTTTGGGGCCTCTCTGATATAGCTCGCCATGGAAATCCTTGCGAGCATACCTGAGCAAAACTAAGATGTTGTTTCATGTTCAGCTGGCTTTGACTTGCCACACCACGTCGGCAAGCTCTTCCGATCTCTTGTCCTGGTAGGGATGTTGCTTTGCGAACCCGCCCCTCACCGATTTTCATCCGGGAGCAAATGAAATGCTCAGGAATCTCCAAACCCCGCAGCCCAGAATCACCAAACCAAAGCTCGTCCCTCGTGTGCGGAGCTTCGCAAGGCCGAAGCTCCCGGCTCGCCTTTTTTTTCCAGTCCGCGGGTTTCTGGACTTGGCCATGGGACCATGTCTTAACTGCTATTGGGCAACGGATCTTTAGACTTGTAAAAAAAATAAAAATAAAAAAAAAAAATGGTTGAAATCAAGTTGGGCTTTCCATTGAACCCCCAAAAAGTTCACTTTTTGCAGGGGGGTCAACAGCAACCAAGATGTTAGGGGGAAACAAACTTGGCCCCGCTGAAGAAGTGGGCATTGGTTCAAGGACAACCCAACCATGGCTAGGTGCCGGTCTGTTCACGTAGAAACTGGAGCGGCAGTTTCCAGCGCGCCCAGTTCGACGTTGCCCGTCAAATCCAGGGACTTCGGGGAGTTGCAAGGAACAAGGGAGCCATCGGCCATTCGGAGGGCACCAGTTGTTTTGACCCGCAGCGACCAGGTTTGCGGCAGGACCCGTTCAAATGCCCTTAAGTACCGGCCGCAACTCATAGTGTGGAATGGGTAAGAGCAGCAGGACTATCAGCTGCGGAACTGCGGGGGAAACCAAACAACAGACCTTCGGTCGACAGGATCCTTGGTTCCTATGTATACCTTGGTCAAATGCCTGTATCGCAGAACAGCCAGCGGCTGCACGGTGACCTCTTAATTTTTGGAGAGCATGTTCCATGCACCAAAAGGCTTGCATGCCATCATCCTTGCCATTTGGGTGTTTCTTTAAGGGGAGGGTTTTTTTGGATGGCGTAGGGAAAAGAGAAAAACAAAATAACAGAAGCACCCGTTTTGCATGGGTCCCCAATTTGCGAACCACCCATTTCTTGCAAGCCGTGGGACACGCAACAAGCTCAGGGAGCTGCCGGTGGGACACACGGGGATCGCGAAGCTCACTTGGCTTTGCAGGCGCTGGCTTCGCAGGGCTCCCCATATGGTTGTTGTTGGGAAACATGTTTTACAGTTTTGCTTATTGTGGTTTAGTGGTTGAAATCCAACCACTTCACTGCTAAAATTCGAGTTTTTGCTCCCCTTCCATTGTCAACCAAGATATGTCAACCAAGATATGTTCCCCTTAAGGGAAATCAACTTTAGTTGGCCGAACAGGTGATGCTTTACAGAACAACAGGGGAAGAAAGAAGCCCTGCGGTACTTGAGGAGTTGCTCAAGGGCTTGAAGCTTTTCGAATCTGATCACCTGGAGTTGCACCCCATGTTCAGGCCGCAAAGGAGGAAGCCACAAAAAAGTGTTGTCGTTTTGTTTGTTTGTGTGTGTGTTTTTCCCACAACAGCTGAAAGCTTTGGGGTCTCAGCCCGGATACGCGCCGGGGTGGTCCGGCGCGGCCCTGAGGTAAGGTTCCATCAGGGTTATACCAGGGTTCCACGAGGGGATTTTCACGAGGTTCGTGGTTCGGGGCGGCCCTGAGGTAAGGTTCCACCAGGGTTCCAGCAGGTTTCCATCAGGTTGCCACGAGGGTTTCACGAGGTTCTGTGGGTGTCCGGGGCCCTGAGGCCCTGGTCGGGCACCGTCGGCGAAAGGGACGCCGTCGGCTGTACCTTCATTGAAGCGGTGGTTTGCCTTGCCGGGCTGGGGTCGGGCCTGAGCACAAAAAGAGCACCGCGTGCTGTTGGGGATATCACCCGAGCTTATTGGGGGGGGGAGGGGGGGGGCTGCAGGGGCTTTTTTTTTTGGGGGGGGGGCAGGGGCGTGGAGTTCTTCCTTGTGATGATTAAGAAGATCTTCACCCAGGATTCCGGCAACGCAGCGACCGAGGCGGGATCGTTTGAGTCAAGGTGACTCTCCAAGCCGAGCGATGATTGGAAGGGAGCCCTGACGGAGCTGTATCAGAGACTTGATGATCCAGCTCCTTAGCCTTTTAGCCTTTTAGTGTATAGTGGTAGTTTCCATTTGACTCACTAAAAGTCAGACTTTTAGCGAGGGATCTGAGGGCAGCCCAGGAGAAACATGCCAAAGAGAAAGCTAAGGATCTGCCAGGAGATCTGGGAGGACCTGGCAACCCTCCATTTGCTTAAGATGTTTTAATGACTTTCCCTTGTTGGTTTTAAAAGGAGTTCATCACTACTGGACATCTGTTTCCTACGGCCTCAACCGAATGGAAGTAGCAAATGAATTTCAACGAGAGCACTGAAGCCAAGTCCAGCGAGTCGGGCCAATCATATTGTCATAGTGTACTGTTGCATTGCGAAGGAGATGGCAAGCCACCCAAAGTAAATCCGAGGGTTGAGACCATCCCATGTTTGATGTGTGGGCTTTGTCCATTGCTTATTTCATCAAGGGGGATGGCCTGACGCTTCCAAGATTCATCGTGCCCGCTGGGCATGCAAGCCCCACAAGCCGCAGAATGTCCGCGCAAAGAGGCGATCCAAAAGTCAACTCTGGAGGGAGGGAAAGACAGAGGAAGAATTCTTGAGGGGACCCTCAAAATGGGTTGGTTTGTTTGGGTTTCAATAGAACTAAAAGGGACTGCCAAACTCTTTCGAAAAGACGAGCCAGGCCTACTCAGAGACTCTGTCTCAGTATCATGGATGGGTCTATGCCTCAGACGCACGAACAGCCTGGAGCGAGAGCACCGATTTTGGTTCTTGCACTAAACCTTACCCAGATCCGTATTGTATTGTGGCTTTCAAGCGAAACCAAAAGGAAAACCGCCGTTTGTGTGGGCCTCCAACGGGTGGCTGTGGTTGTCAAAACTAGTATGACCCCATGATAGAACCTGATATTTTCCTGGCAAAGTCTAGGAAGAATCAAATGGGGCCTGGTGAATGGACCCTTTTTTGTTTTCCTACCCCTTCAAGGGGCCATTCGCAAGGGCCCATTAGTCCTGGAATTGGGATTTGGGCCAAATCAGGCAAAGTGTTTGGGGTTTCGGTTCAAGGCGCAGTACAACACCCCCCACTTCTGTTGCAAAGGAACCCGAAACCCTAAAGCCGGAACCCCCACCTTCAATTCTACTCCCTCTTCAAAACCTTTGGGGCTTAGGGTTGACTTGTAATTAAGTCTAGGGGGTACCTTCCAATTCCATTCTTTCCAGGGATGCTTCTGTCTAGAATCCGGAAACGGAGAACAGCCGGTTTTTGGAAAGAACGAGAGTTGAAAAGAATGGAATTGGAATCAACACCTCGATTACTTCGCAGATTTGCACAGATGCGACTGTGCGCAGCTTCAAAGGCTTCGGAAGCGAGTCGACTGTGCGTGTCCGCACGGCCGCCTTTGCCATGAGTAGCTCGGAGTCGGATGCGGAGGCGCTGTCAGAGAGCGCCCAGAGCAAACACGCGATTCCCAGCTTGGGCTGGCATTTTTGTCGCGCTTCTTGTCGAAGAGCTGTCGATTCTCTATTTCATAGTAGCAGTTGCTCTTAAAGATCAGAATTGGCAGACCAGCGCTGTGCAAATTGCGTCCCTCTACGTCGCCCATCTCGCCCTTCAAACTATCCTTGGTGGCAATGACACAACTGCTGGGCTGCAGGCCTTCCAACACAGCCTGGGATATGCCGATGCCGAAGAGTCCGAGGCAAACAAGATTCAGGAGGCCGTTGTATATGAGCCGAGCCGACGTTCATACGGCCTTTGGAAGGAGGGACATATGATTCTATACAGGGGTCATATGATGATCTCTATTAGAGTCCTTGAGCCAAGCCTTGTGGGTTTATTAGTACTACTTTCAGAAATCAGTTCACAGAAGCGGCTTATATACACGGGTTGAATGTTGGAACGGTTTTAATCGGAGGGCTCGTGAGGACGTTGCCGTGGGGAGGCGTTTGGACGCTTGAGCGATGCAATGTGTAACGAGTTTCACCGTTTTCGACCAGCCTAGAAGCACGATTTCGGCGTTTAAACAGTTTCAAAGTCTAAGCAGTTTCTACCGGAGGGCTAGTGAGCAGCCTTTGGAGGCTGACGTGCTTCAACGTGCGGTTAAACAGGCCGTTTGACTATTTAAGTTATGGGGGCCTTGTTGTTTGCACAACTGGAGTTTGAATCAGGTAGGCATTTCAGCAGTTGAACACAACCCCCTGCCCAATCCAGCTACCAGGTTTTGATGACTATCCCTATGCTGAAGTGACGATCACTGCAGAATATGAGTGCGCCGACACCACAACAGCTGACGCAGCCGAGAACGAGAAGAATCTGGCCATGGACGAGTGTGTGCGAAGAGGCCCGAGCAGATCTACAGAATTCGGACAGTTCCTTCGTTGCATTTTGCCAAGGGATGTTAGGCCTTTAACCTCTTGCCAACTAATGGGAATTGCCATTAAACCACCAAAAGTTATTCACTTTTAGCAGGGGAGCAGATTTCGCAACCGAGGTTCAACAAGGTGACATTGACTCCGAATGATTCGGCGCTGGAAGGAAGCCAGGTCTATGCCGGCAAAAGCATCCCGTGCTGGCTGTCCTCCAGGGTCAAGGCTGGGTCCTTGGCCCTCCCATTCGGGACGCTGTACCGGCTCCTGTTGTGCCATGTCCCACACCTTGACTATAAAACCGTCAAGCAGGTGTCTATGCTGCGCCAAGCAGGCACGGACTGGCGAGGTCGCCAAAAGCAACTGAAACCCATTTGAATCTCATGCTCTCTTTCGCTGGGGAAGAACCAGCGAAAGTGTTTTTGTGCGCGCCTTGCTCAGAGACGTCGGATTGAGCTTTCAGCTATCGTCATACTTTATCAACCTAGGTGCCCCTATGTATTTTGCACAAGCCAACTTTCGTCCAGTCACATAGGGAAGCGAGCGCGGGTTTCTGCTGTTGCACTTGCCTGACCGGTATTTGCGGCAGATCTGCTTCCCTTTGTGAGACCCCTTGCCTTTCTTGGCCTGCTTTGTGGGCTTTCAGGGCGAGCTGTTTTTCTCAGGATGGGGCAATCTAGGCAACGGTTGCTGTATCATACGGGCTGAAATTCACCGAAGTGAGTCATTCGTGCATCGCAGTTCCTTCGGCTTGAGCCATTTCAAATCCAGGTCTTGCCGAGTGGAGCAATTGCTCAATGAAGGGTGTGACAAAAATGTCTTGCGCGCATCCATCTATGTTCTATCTCTCAGCTCTCTCCAAGAACTGATGGGCGAGAAAGAGTGGTGAGTGGGAGAGATGGAGAGATGCCAGGCAATTAATCTTCATTCCATGTGTAAAGCTGAGAGAGAGAGAGATTAGATAAACGCAGGGAAATAGAGATTGGTGTCTTATTCCTATCACTTTCATGTTATCTCTTCTTCATATATTTCTTTTTAGGTACCCTTGAAAGCTGCTTCAGATGCTCGAGGCTCAGGCTTTTCGCTAGGACAACAGGGGAGATGAGCTGGGATCACATGACAGTTGGAGAGAAATGCCAGCCTTTCCATCTCCATATCTCCCTCTTCCTAACTTCAGGGATTCCAGGGTCTAGAAGAAGGGAAGGGAATGCTTGACTGCTATTGGGTTGGATCTTTAGACTTTAACCTTTTGGGACCTCAAGGGGGTTTCCACTAAACCCCCCAACAATTGTTCACTTTTTGCGGGGGGTCAACAGCAACCAAGAATGGAAATGATATATATATATTAAAAAAAAAAAAAAAAAAAAAAAAAACGGAATGAGCTTCACCTCCCACACAAAAATCCGGCCTGCATGCATAGTGTGCTTCTCAGACATAGCACTCATAGCACACATGGCACACAGAGCACACCTAGCAGACCTGACGATTTGCCTGACTGTGAGCCTCCTGAGGGGAATAAGGTCAGCACTGCAGGAATCCACCAGCTCACGAATCTGAATTCCAAATCCATGCACCAATCTGGGCAAAGCATTGCGACCAAACTGAGCTAGTATGCTCGACTCGGGTCTTCTGAAACATTTCCAGCGTTGCCGGTCCAGTTACCGCTGTGGTGCCTCAATATTGTTTCTCTAGGTTCTACACAAGGGTGTGACTTAGTTACTAGAGAAACCACGGGGCCCCTTTGACGAGCTCGGAGACTGCTTTTGCGTCGCGCTGAGATGCTGCAGCAGACGCTGAAGATCGCCCTCCGCGCTCTGCCGTCCAAAGACGCCATTGTGCAATCCGAAGGATTGGTGCCAGGACTGCGGGGGGAAACTTTGGTGCATTCTGCCAAGGGATGTTAGGACTTTAACTTTTGCCAACTAATTAGTTTTCCATTAAACCACTAAAAGTTAACCTTTTAGCAGGGGAGCAGAAAGCAACCGAGGAAAAGTCGCAGCCCTTGACTCCAGCGAAGCGTTTTTATTGCCACTGGAGCTCTAGAATGCGAACTTCCCTGTTAGAAAAAAAACCACGCGGGGGCACAAGGGGGCCCCTTGTGAACTGTCCCGACAATTCGGGGATTCTAGTTTTGCGCAGCGCTTTACAGAAGTCTTTAGAAAGGGCCCAGCGGTGTGTGTGTGTGTGTGTGTGTGTGCATGCGAATTCTCCGAGGCAAGACCAAGCGCTTGATCTTCGAAGAATACGGGAGAATGAAATGCTTGCGTGTGTTTGGTTCTGCGTTTGCGTCCGTGTTTGTGTCAGCTTCTGTGTTTGCGTTTGTGTTTGGAAGGGCGTGTGTGCGTGTGTTTGCGTATAAGGCCAACAAGGATAACTAGTTGCAATACTATTAAAGTTGAAGCTCTAAGCCAGAACAGCTTGCTACCTGCATGGTTCTGAAAGTCCAACGTTCATCGGAACGCCATATGTATCGTGGGTGCTAAATAGTTGGATTTGGAAAATGGGCCAAACCAAAGGCGTAGGGTTTTGCGGAAACCCACTTGGGGCCAAGTATTTCGAAGGTTTCAAGCGAAGGGCTGTCTGCATGTAGCGTAGGAATGGCCTCCCACCGAATCACGCTAGGTCCCCCCACTCTTTTAGTGTTGGACTCTCTTTAGTGTGACCCCCCCTCCCCCCCCCCCCCCCCGGAACAGGGGAACCAGTCGGCGGGACTCTCTTTAGTGAGACCCTGGGGGTCCGGGAGGGGCAGTACTTACATTAGTATTGCCAATTCTACTTTAGTGTTGCCAAGGCTGACTCTCAGATCCCCAGTACTTACATTAGCATTGCCAATTCTACTTTAGTGTTGCCAAGGCTGACTCTCAGATCCCCAGTACTTACATTAGCATTGCCAATTCTACTTTAGTATTGCCAAGGCTGACTCTCAGATCCCCAGTACTTACATTAGCATTGCCAATTCTACTTTAGTATTGCCAAGGCTGACTCTCAGATCCCCAGTACTTACATTAGCATTGCCAATTCTACTTTAGTGTTGCCAAGGCTGACTCTCAAATCCCCGTACCTACTTTAGTATTGCCAATTACTTTAGTGTTGCCAAGGCTGACTCTCAGATCCCCAGTATTACTTAGCATTGCCAACTCTACTTTAGTGTTGCCATTGCCAATGCCGGTGACTCTCAGATCCCCAGTACTTACATTAGCATTGCCAATTCTACTTTAGTATTGCCAAGGCTGACTCTCAGATCCCCAGTACTTACATTAGCATTGCCAATTCTACTTTAGTGTTGCCAAGGCTGACTCTCAGATCCCCAGTACTTACATTAGCATTGCCAATTCTACTTTAGTATTGCCAAGGCTGACTCTCAGATCCCCAGTACTTACATTAGCATTGCCAATTCCACTTTAGTGTTGCCAAGGCTGACTCTCAAATCCCCAGTACCTACTTTAGTATTGCCAATTCTACTTTAGTGTTGCCAAGGCTGACTCTCAGATCCCCAGTACTTACTTTAGCATTGCCAACTCTACTTTAGTGTTGCCAAGGCTGACACTCAGATCCCCAGTACTTACTTTAGCATTGCCAATTCTACTTTAGTGTTGCCAAGGCTGACTCTCAGATCCCCAGTACTTACATTAGTATTGCCAATTCTACTTTAGTGTTGCCAAGGCTGACTCTCAGATCCCCAGTACTTACAGTTTTGCAGTTCTACTTTAGCCAAGGCTTCTAGATCCCCAGTACCTACTTTAGCATTGACAATTCTACTTTAGTATTGCCAAGGCTGACTCTCAGATCCCCAGTACTTACTTTTGCCAATTCCACTTTAGTATTGCCAAGGCTGACTCTCAGATCCCCAGTACCTACTTTAGTATTGCCAATTCTACTTTAGTGTTGCCAAGGCTGACTCTCAGATCCCCAGTACTTACTTTAGCATTGCCAACTTCTACTTTAGTGTTGCCAAGGCTGACTCTCAGATCCCCAGTACTTACTTTAGCATTGCCAATTCTACTTTAGTGTTGCCAAGGCTGACTCTCAGATCCCCAGTACTTACATTAGCATTGCCAATTCTACTTTAGTGTTGCCAAGGCTGACTCTCAGATCCCCAGTACTTACATTAGCAGCATTGCCAATTCTACTTTAGTATTGCCAAGGCTGACTCTCAGATCCCCAGTACCTACTTTAGCATTGCCCAGTTCTACTTTAGTGTTGCCAAGGCTGACTCTCAGATCCCAAGTACTTACTTTAGTTTGCAATTGACTTTAGTGTTGCCAAGGCTGACTCTCAGATCCCCAGTACCTACTTTGGCATTGAAAATTTACTTTAGTATTGCCATGGCTGACCCTCAGATCCCGAGTACTAACTTTAGCAATGCAATTCTTCTTTGGTATAGTCAAGGCTGACTCTCAGATCCCAGTACTTCAGTATTGCCAAGGATGACTCTCAGATCCCCAGACTTTAGTATTGCCAATTCTACTTTTGTATTGCCAAGGCTGACCCTCAGATCCCAGTGCTTACTTTAGTATTGCCAATTCTACTTTAGTATTGCCAAGGCTGACCCTCAGATCCCCAGTACTTACTTTAGTATTGCCAATTCTACTTTAGTGTTGCCAAGGCTGACCCTCAGATCCCCAGTACTTACTTTAGTATTGCCAATTCTACTTTAGTTTGCCAAGGCTGACTCTCAGATCCCCAGTACTTACTTTAGTATTGCCAATTCTACTTTTGTGAGTCAGCCTTGGCAACACTAAAGTAGAATTGGCAATGCTACTTTAGTGCCAAGGCTGACTCTCAGATCCCCAGTACTTACTTTAGTATTGCCAATTCTACTTTGGATTGTCTGACTCTCAGAGTCAGCTTACTTTAGCATTGCCAATTCTACTTTAGCTACTTTAGTATTGCCAAGGCTGACTCTCAGATCCCCAGTACTTACTTTAGTATTGCCAATTCTACTTTGGTATTGTCAAGGCTGACTCTCAGATCCCCAGTACTTACTTTAGCATTGCCAATTCTACTTTAGTGTTGCCAAGGCTGACTCTCAGAATCCCAGTACTTACTTTAGCATTGCCAATTCTACTTTAGTGTTGCCAAGGCTGGCTCTCAGATCCTCAGTACTTACTTTAGTATTGCAAGTTCTACTTTAGTGTTGCCAAGGCTGACTCTCAGATCCCCAATACCTACTTTAGTATTGCCAATTCTACTTTAGTGTTGCCAAGGCTGACTCTCAGACCCCCAGTACTTACATTAGCATTGCCAATTCCACTTTAGTGTTGCCAAGGCTGACTCTCACATCCCCAGTACTTACTGTAGCATTGCCAATTCTACTTTAGTGTTGCCAAGGCTGACTCTCAGATCCCAGTACTTACTTTAGCATTGCCAATTCTACTTTAGTGTTGCCAAGACTGACTCTGCAAGTTCTACTTTAGTGTTGCCAAGGCTGACTCTCAGATCCCCAAGACCTACTTTAGTATCGCCAATTCTACTTTAGTATTGCCAAGGCTGACTCTCAGATCCCCAGTACTTTAGTATTGCCAATTCTACTTTAGTGTTGCCAAGGCTGACTCTCACATCCCCAGTACTTACTTCAGCATTGCCAATTCTACTTTAGTATTGCCAAGGCTTACTCTCAGATCCCCAGTACTTACTTTAGCATTGCCAATTCTACTTTAGTATTGCCAAGGCTGACTCTCAGATCCCCAGCACTTACATTAGCATTGCCAATTCCGCTTTAGTGTTGCCAAGGCTGACTCTCAGATCCCCAGTACTTTAGCATTGCCAATTCTACTTCAGTATTGCCAAGGCTGACTCTCAGATCCCCAGTACTTACATTAGCATTGCCAATTCTACTTTAGTGTTGCCAAGGCTGACTCTCAGATCCCCAGTACTTACTTTAGTATTGCCAATTCTACTTTAGTGTTGCCAAGGCTGACTCTCAGATCCCCAGTACTTACTTTAGTATTGCCAATTCTACTTTAGTATTGCCAAGGCTGACTCTCAGATCCCCAGTACTTACTTTAGCATTGCCAATTCTACTTTAGTATTGCCAAGGGTCGTTTTTTCAACAACCCCCAAAATCAGGTGGACACTAAAGAGGACCCCAAAACAGTCGCATTAAAGAGGATCTGGGCCTCTTGTGGGCACCCCCCTTTGTGTGACTGTTTGCCCGCACTTTTTTGTAAAGAAGTTATCTTAAATTTGATGGTTTGGGGACCACTTCAAGAAAACAATTTTCCAATGTTTGCCAGGATTTGGTTGCCTGTTGTTTGCCCGACTTGTTTGCCAAGTGTGTTGCCCATATTTTTCCCAGCGTTGTTTCCGGCACAAGGCTTTCCACAATAGAGAGCCCCTAAAACAGTCCAACGATTCTGAATTAGAAAAATATTTTCCACAATAGAGAGTACTATTAATAAAGGAGGTCCAACATTACCCTTTTTTGGGGGAGGGTTCCCTCACTAAAATAGCTAAAATAGACTACACAACAAAAGTGTACCCTTATTCAAACGTCTACTGGAGGACCTAGCACAAGGAGCCTTGCACGCGTGTTGTTTGAGGATTTTGATGCTGTCCTTCGTGTGGTCGTTTCAAAGGAAAACAAAAAGGAAGTCTACCGTGTTGCAGGCCATACACCCGAACTCAACCGAGAACTCATCCGAAATTACTATGACGTTTCGAGGCTGGGCTAAAACTTAAGCATATCATTTGGGGGCCCGGGGGCGGAAAGTGAAGACGAAGTACCATCCGAAATTGTGTTTGTTTCTCGTTCCTAGGGCACGAAAAGGGGAAAGAACCAAATTCCAGCACAAGGGACGAACCCCACCTTAATCCCATCCACCCTATGCACCCCAACCCCTATCGCCACCCGGCAGATTTCCCCGACTCAGGAGATCAGACGCTGGATGAGAAGCGATCGCTCTGCGAGCGCGACGCTCCTCCCGCGGCCACGGAGGCACTGGACGTGTGCCTCGGCGACGGCTTTGACTGCTTTCCCGGTTTTTCTGCCTATGGCCACCGAGCTCACCGTTTTTCACACGAGGGAGCCGAACAAAAAACATCCGCTTGAGTCATGGCAAACTTTGCTGATGTTGGTTGGACCGTGAAAGGTGGGGGTGATGGCCTGCTAGCTGAGCTTGCTTGCTGGATTGGTTTGACGTTGGCGAAGGGGATACGCCAAAATGAGGCCTGGTGCCCTTTACCTCAGCAGGACATAGGGAAAACACGCATGGTCCAAAGACCAAAGGGTTGATTTAAACAATGGTTCGACATGACCCGTCAATAGCTACTGATATGGGAAGTCGGGAAAGTGACGGGTTGTATTTGTTGGAACTACATCTTTGTAGGCCAAATGACCTGCTCCTGCCAAAATATAGCTATATCACACTATATCAATGAAAATCCTAAAGTTTAGTCGGGCTTTCTTGTGTCTTTTCAGCTTTCTCCCATGTAGCATAGTGCGTTGTTTTTCGGACCCCGACCGAGTTTACCCTTCGGTAGTTGCCCGCTTGCACAAATCCGACAAGTTGGTTGGGCAGGGCCCTAGGAATTTCTCTAAAAGCGGAGATTGAAAAGGACCTCCTCAGCTTTTGTTGCAGCTTTCTTGACTGCTATTGGGTTGGATCTTTAGACTTTAACCTTTTAGGAAGTCAATGGGTTTTCCACTAAACCCCAAAAAAGTTTGTTTAAAAACAAAATGCAGGGGGTCAACAGCAACTAAGCTTTGAAGACTATGCATTTCGTCCCATCTAGTGGCGAATTTGGTCACCAGTTTTGGTTGGACTGAGTTTTGCCGAGGGTGCACTGCATCTTCGACATGATGAAGAAAACGGGGCGATGGGATGCAAAGAAGGCCTGAGCTTCTGAGACCGGCGTGGCTTTTGCACCCCAGCTGGTTTCGAGGTCGAAGTCTCGCAAGGCTTTAAATTTTAGGATTTATGAATGGCGCTTGAAAAGTTTGTGGTCAATATGTGTTTGAAAACATGGTGCGCAAGCCTGGTGAACATCTTTCACGTCGCGCCTGGTGCGACCACTGTAGCTTTTGAAGACACTGAGATGCCAAAGCTGTGAAAAGCAGTTGACGCATCGCTGGATGACACAGGATGACTGCGCTCACCCGGCACGGAGAGCACTTTTTTGTCAAGGCCCACGTTTTGATCCTGCCTGGCCCTTTCATTTGTGAACCAATGACATGTCACACACACACACACAAAACACACCTTGTGATTGACGGTGTCCGTGGCTTGCTCGAGAAGCGCTAAGCAGACGGTGTACTTGGATGAAGAAATGCTAAATCAGGAATGCTAAATCGATCTTTCTTATCCCGACTAACATGGATTTGTGCACAAATTCCTGTAGAGAGACGACTTTCCTCTTGGAAAGGGTTTTTCTTATCCCGACTAACTTGGCTTTGTGCAGAAATTTCTATGGAAAGACAACCTTTGTCTTCAGGGCGTCCTCTGTATGGCTGACTTGGGATATCTGAGCCGCTTGCTTTGCGAGCCGGAAGCTCGGAATGCAAGTTTCGACCTGGGCGGGCCTACGGGCTTGGGGCTTTGAAGACAACATGGTCACTATGATGTTGTGCTTTGTTTTGAAAAAGAAATGGTTCAGGCGTAGGAAAATATTTGCATTTGTTGATCTTTGTCTAATTGGCAATTTGTTGAAAAATGTGATTCATTAAAAAATATATAAAACAAAAATATTGAAATAAATAAAAAATATTTAAATAATTGTATTTAATATTATAGAAATATGTTGTATTTTTTATAATTAAATTATATAATTTTTGAAGATATATATATATATATATGAAAATTGGAATGGTGGTGGGATCGTATTTCATATATAATAGGATTATTAAACATAATTCAATGAATAATTATAATATATATATTTTTTAATTTTTATTCGGAATTTATATTGTGGTGAAAATTGGTGAAATATATGATGAGTATAATCTTTTGTTATAAACATGATGATTTGGATGGAGTATTGTTATAATAGTTTTAGTGTTTTGATGATATTATTTGTTGTTTTTTTGGATTGGGTTGGATTTATATTTGTATGGTTTGTTGTTTAAAATTCGAAATGGATAGATAGATTAATTATATATGATATTTTGTGATTAAATTTGTATACATAGATAGATTAAGATATTTTTTTAATAGATATTTTTGTGGAATTGTATGTTATAGATAATATATTTTTGGAGGTAATTTTGAATGATATATTTAGATATTTTTGGAATTGAATTTTATTTTGTTAAAGAGATGGAATGATTATTTGAATTATATTTGAATTAAGATTATGATATTTTAATTTTGGTAATTTGTTATTTTATATTCGAATTTGCCATAATGAAATATATTGTAATTGTCGATTGTTGATTGTTATTTGATATTGTTTTTCGCTTTGCTCTAACCTTTTGTATGGGGGTTCCGCTTATAATGGGCTCTTAGTCGGAATTTACGTTATTTGGCCGTTTATTTTGCATCGATCGCTGGCTTGATTAAGATTTTAATTTAATTTTAGTTTTTATGTTGGGGTAGAGTATGTATTTTGGTGGTTTTTGTTGAGGATAAAATAATATTTTAGAAAAAAATGATATTTTTTTATAATTCGAAAATCGTTTTTAATAATTTATTTTGGAATATGTTTTTTATATATGTTCGGCTGCCCGAATTGAATCCTAAGATTTAATCCATTCGGGTTTTAATATAGAAAATCTTTTTTTTTTGTTATAAGGCAATTTGATTTTTTTATAAAATTTATTCTATGTTTTATACTCTAATTTGGCTTTAATATATTCTTTGAATAATAAAGAATATAATTTCCGAAAATATATTCGAATAGCCTTATTCCCAATACTTTTGGAAAAGAAGGATTAAAAAACATCATTCTCGAATTTAGAATTTTTTTTTTCTTTAATGTTTATGCTGATTTATTTATGTTTTGTATTCATATTGTTAAGTTTGCCTATTGCGATGCCTATGTTTCCTAAGTGGCTTATAACGTTCTATTTTCCTCCGGCAATTAATTTATAGTGATTCTAAATACAATTAGTTTTCTAGATTCGTTATTCTTTATATTTGGCGAAGGTTTTACTTCTTTTAATTATAGAAATTATGTTTTTTTTTTTTTTTTTTCGATTTGATTTTAGAAATTCGGTCGGAGATAATAAAGGTGGTTTCCTAAGAGGTATAAAGTGTCCCCTTTAATATGTATTTTATTGTTACATAGCAAGTAATTAAGTCAGTGACGGAAACTAATTCGCGATTCCGCTCGGGACACCGAGAAAGTCCATACGCGCCGTGCACTAAACCCCTGCGCCGCCGTGCCGAAGAAGGTGCCGGTGATACCCACGAAATCGTTATTGTCCATGCTAATATATATATCATCAAATTGGAGGTCGCGCCCAGCCTTTAACGACAACCGAAAGAAGAATAATCCCCCCTACCTACCTTAAAAATAAAATTAAGAAAGGGGTTACATTGATAAAATAAAATATTGTTGGGCTTAAAAGCCACCCGAGTCCTACCTTAGCCGCCCCAAATACGTCGGCCTACATGCTTCTCCCACTCGCTAGGCTCGGGCGTGCGCTCCGTGCACTCCGTTTCAGTTAGTTGTAACGCCAATAATTCGGCCCCCAAAGTGTGAAGATATCGTCAGGCAGATCGCGAGACGTATGGTTACACAGCAACGCGCATTAACGTGTAATATCGCGTAAAATCGTTTTATTAAAAAGAGTGTCTCGAAAACAATAAAGCCACCAGAAATCTGCCACGCAACTGCGATCTGCCAGAATTTTATATAACCCGGCGCACAAAATCCTACGCCGAGGCTTATGGATCTACACGCTCAACCGCGGGACCCGGCGCGCCGGGCCCTTGTGACTCGGCAAGCTCTCAAATACGTGGCACGACGCCCTAGGTCGCCCGCTATGTCATTCTAATTTCAACATCCCACCCAATAACGTTCAGAAAGGTTTCGGGCGCGGCTAACACACTATTTACTTAATCAAGTTGAGGCATGTTGGCGCCGACTAGCGCCAAACGTTCTTTTAACTAGTGCAAAAATGGTGAAAAGCAATGAGACAACATTACGTCCTTCCCCATTTCAATCAAATGCAGATTCCAGAATACTTGCAAAGACGCAAGGTAAGCAAAACGCTGAGCTGATGAAGATATGGCCCACGCGTTTACGGTGCATCTCTCGTTTTTTAGGATCTCCGGCAGCAGCTTGTTACGAGCGCAGTAACGCCTCATGTCGTAAAAGCAAAACGCTGAGCTGATTGAGATATAGCCCACGCGTTTACGGCACATTTCTCTTTTTTTGGGTCTCCGGCAGCAGCTTGTTACGAGCGCCGTAACGCCTTATATCGCAAGTAGTTTGGTTTGTTTTGAACGAATTGGTAAATAGGGAGGAGGGCTGATCCCTTGCCTTCTGTGAATCCCCTATTTTGGATTAGCGCGCAGTAGAGCAATTACAAGGACGCAATTTTAAAGGCAAATATGTAATCAAGCGGCCGAAAGCCTTAAAAACAGATTCATCTAACTACAAAATTACAGCTTTTAGAAAGGCACGCTTCCCCGAACTACCTATTTTCATTTCGTCTGTTTACTACCACTAGCGATTGGCAGACTAAATATTCGAATTAAAGGATTTTGGACAATATCTAGTCCTTGAAGTAGACTAAATGAAAAGAAGCAGCTTCGCGAAATTGCCTCTTTTGGCAAGTTGTAGTTCTGCGCATTATGACGTATTTAATTTGCATTTTTCCTACTAAAAAGAGAAAAAGACGATCGGGTAACAAAAGAGAGTTGGTAAGAAAGAAGAAGGCAAGCGTGCTACCCCAAGGGAGGAGTATATAGAGGGCAAGGAACAAGCCCTTCGTTTTGCTTACCAATTCGCAGAAAGCAAATCATTTGAGACATGAGGTGGAATTGCGCTCTTAATAAGCTATTGTCGAATCCTATGAAGAAAAGATGTGCCGTAGGCGCGAGGGCCATATTTTAATTAGTTTATTTTAAGATTTTTACAAATATTCTAGAATCTGTTTTTTTATGACTACGAAAAAAGGTTTTAGGTTACTTGGCTGAAGCGGGGGTTAGACGCAACGCTTTCGTCGCAATCATTGTCCCTGTTTTTGTGTCGCTTTAAACGCTTAGGGTCATGTCGTATAGCCCTCCAACTTGAAATCGCCTATTATAAGCTTGTAGAGGCGACGGAGCTCTGGATATTAGAATGCACCAAAGAAATTACCCAGTGTGATTGGGTGGGCATTAAGAGCACCTTGCCCAGGGTGGTCAATGTAATGTCATCGGCCTTAGTCGAGGAATTTGTGTTTCAACAGTAGGGCCGAGATTATTATATTCGCCTCGATTTGTCGATGTTTCCAAAGTAATATCCAGGATTTGGAGGTCGTAGATAACCGTGTTTGCAGTCTAACTGGTCAAGCTCGGCACCTAAAAGTGTGTGCCGAAGTGCAATTTCGCGATCTTATTCATAAGTTGCTACACAACGGTAGTAAACGTTGTAGGCCTTGGATATGTATACGACGAAGTTAGAGGCGGTGCGGCAGGCGAAGAGGAGATCATTGCCAAAAATAGACTATACCCGTCGATACTCAAAGACCATGCTACAGGCCGCTGCTAGCGCGAACCAACCAGTTCGCAAGCGAGACGTAGGGCATTAATTCTTAATAAGATTTTTTCGAATTCTAATAATAATTTTGGAAAAAAATCGGAAACCATATCAATGCAAATTGTTCGTTATATATCTTTCTAACCAATGCAATTCCTATTACCAGATCCGGGCTATCTTTAATATCCATTCCTGTATCTGCCGCCGCGATGT